GGGGGCCCCGCAGCAGCCCCCAGCAGAGCTGCATGCATCTTGGCGTTTGCTGGGTTCTGCTGCTGCAGCAGCAGACAAAACCCTAAAAACCCTCAACAGCAAACGCGGGCTCTCTCCTCTCTCCTCTTGCTGCACCAGAAACAGCAACAGCAGCAGCAACAGCAGCAGCAGCAGCAGCATGAAAGCAACAGAAGAAAGAGAAAAGGAGACAGAAGGAGACAGAAAGGAGACAGAAAAGGAGACAGATATAGCTTGGCCTGTCCCCAGACAAAACGACTGCCGCACAGCAGCAGATCTATTGAAGGGCCTTTCCACCTGGGTAGAGATACCGCTCCCTAGCAGCAACTGGCTGCAGCTCACAGCAGCAGCAGCAGCAGCAGCAGCAGCAGCAGCAACAGGAGCAGCAGCAACAGGAGCAGCAGCAGCAGGAGCAGGAGCGGCAGCAGCAGCAGCAACAGGAGCAGCAGCAGCAGCAGCAGAGCAGCAGCATAAACCAGAAATTGTGGGGTCGAGGCTGCTGCAGGGCAAGGGGAAGTGTCTCCGCGTATTTGCTGCTGGACACCCAAAAACACTCTTCTGCTGCAGCAGCAGCAGCAGCAGCAACAGCAGCAGCACCAACAGCAGCAGCAGCAGCAGCAGCAGCAGCAGCACCAACAGCAGCAGCAGCAGCAGCAGCATTAGTAGTAGTACGAGCGACGCAGCAGCAGCAGCAGAACCACTGGAAATATCACCAGCAGAAGTGGACAACTGTGCTGCTCCTCCTGCAGCAGCAGCAGCAGCAGCAGCAGATACTGCTGCTGCTGCTGCTGCTGCAGTGCCTGATTGGGAGCTGCTGCTGGAGGGCGCGCAGCAGAGCGGTGACTTTTCTTTATATGTTTCTATCGACGTGAAGGTGGTGCTGCTGGGGTATAAAGGGGGTGCAACGCAGCCAGCAGCAGCAGCAGCAGCAGCAGCAGGAGCAGCAGCAGCAGCAGCAGCAGCAGCAGCAGCAGGGGGATATGAAGAGGAATGTATAGGGGGCATGTTCTGCGATGACCCCGGCCTCGGGAAAACTTTGTCTTTGCTGTCGCTTGCTGTTGCTGCAGCCACGAGAACACATAGACCCCCCAGACACCTCTGGCCCCCTCCTGCTGCTGCTGCTGCTGCTGCTGCTGCTGCTGGTGCTGCTGCTGGTGCAGGAGAAGGAGAAGGAGAAGGGAGAGGAGGAGGGGGAGAGTCTGCTGCTGGTGCTGCTGCTGGTGAT